CGGGCCGGGGCGGCGCCGCGCCATGGCGATCTTCAGCGTCTACGTGGTGAACAAGGCCGGCGGCCTCATCTACCAGCTGGACCACTACGCGCCCCGCTCCGACACCGAGAAGACGTTCAGCTTTCCGCTCGATCTCGTCCTGCGCCCGCACGATGAGCGCGTCGTGGTGGCCTTCGGGCAGCGGGACGGCATCCGCGGTGAGGCGGGTGGGAAGGGCCGGGCGAGGCCGGGCGTATTGACGGACGGACGGACTGACCGACAGACTGACTGACTGATGGACGGACTGGCTGCGTGGCTGACTGGCGCTGTCCCCGCAGTGGGGCACGCCGTGCTCGCCATCAACGGCGCCGAGGTGAACGGTCGCTTCACGGCGGACGGGAAGGACGTGCTGGAGTTCCTCGGTAACCCCGCCAACTACCCGGTGTCCATCCGCTTTGGCCGCCACCGGCTCTCCTCCAACGAGAAGCTGATGCTGGCCTCCATGTTCCACTCGTGAGTCGCGGTGTCAGGGCGGGCCGGGGTGGCGCGGGCCGGGGGCGCTGAGGGCCTGTCCCCGCAGGCTGTTCGCCATCGGGTCGCAGCTGTCACCTGAAGTTGGGAGCTCCGGGATCGAGATGCTGGAGACCGACACCTTCAAGCTGCACTGCTTCCAGACACTGACAGGTACCGTGGGGCCCTGGGCACCGGCACCCTCTGCTTCCTCAGGGCTGTCGGTGCTTGCCCTTCCTTATGCTCCTGGCATTTTGGCTCCAGGGATCAAATTCATGGTTCTTGCTGACCCGAGGCAGACGGGGATAGACGCTCTTCTCCGCAAAATCTATGAGATTTACTCAGACTTCGCTCTGAAGAACCCTTTCTACTCCCTGGAGATGCCAATAAGGTAAGGAAAAGCCCACTTTCAGTAACCTGGCTGCAACCCCTCATTGCTTTCTGCCTATACAGTAGCAAATGCAGTCCTTAACTAGCAAAAGTGGCTGAGGCAAGGGGAAGAAAGCTATAGCACACTGCTGCAGAGAGGACACAGCTCTGAGCTCTTTCCAGTGCTGGTTCTGCCAGGGAAATGAGAGGTGCTCCTCCTTGGCACAAACCCTGCTGTCCTGCCATATATTCAGGCCTATACAAGAAGCTTTAATCTTAACTAAGCACCAAGTCAGACCTTGACAAGCAGTCATGTTGCTGTGTCATAACTTCCTGAATCTCTCCTTGAAGGATGCAGAGCCAAAGGATGTGGAGATCCTTTGTTAGCTTTGCTAACTCACTTCCATATGTAGAAGTCATCCCTTTTGCTTTTCTGACTATTTCAGGTGCGAGTTGTTTGATCAGAACTTGAAGCTTGCTCTGGAGGTGGCAGAGAAAGCTGGACCCTTTGGACCTGGATCATAGAGAAAGCCTTGCCTGTTGAAGAGATTCATTTGTCTGAAGAGTGGGGCCTCTCTCTTCCCTGGCTGGCCTCTCACAAAGCTCCCCTCTCCACAGCAGAGACTGCACATCCCCAAAACATGCTTCAGTATGTCCCAGAATACCAGTTTATCCCCTTTGTTGTAAAACTTACCTTAAAGAGATTCCTTGGCACCGTTTACATTGGGCCACAGGGCCTTATTTTGCTGTTGCAGCTCTGCTGCACTTGGGTGAAGGAGAAGGTGCAGGACTGTGGCTTTACCACAGTCAGTGCTTTTCTTTCCTGTCATAAATGTACATATGTATTTTTCCTGTATAGCTCGAACTTACAGTCTTGCAGAGGGTTTCTGTGTAGAAGTAATAAGTGTTTACTGATGAGACAAATGGCTCTTTGCTTTCTGTTGGTGGGGACATTGGCACCTCAAGAGGATATGTGGATTTGGCTGGTTTTGCTTGTACCACTCTCCATAAGAAAACCAGGGCCCTTGTGACACTGCTCCATTTTTATTTCAGATATAGAAGATCATGTAATTAAGTACAAAATGTAATTCACTTTCATTTACTTAATTAAGGCTAGCTAACTACTCTTGCAACCAAGGTACTCAGCAAAGTACCTGCGTGCAGGTTCTTTACAAAGTGAACTTGCCTTTTTCAGGATCCTAAGACAGTAAATCCTTTTGGGGAAAAATAAGAGTATTCAACAAATTCCTGGTTAAATACCTGAGTGTATTTACTGCAGGGTGCTGTGCCTGACTGCTGAGGCTGACTCAGAGGCAGCCTGAGCCCCTGCCTGCAGCCATGAGAGACACAGCTCTTGACCAAAGCTATCCCAGTCTTCACACCCTGTACTGAAAGAATACAAGCCAATGCTAGAAATGTGGGTTTTCAAGAAACCCAGCTGCACAAAACGTGGGTTGGTGGTGGCTGCTGTTGCAGTTCCTGCTGCTGGGATAGTTCTGGCTGATTTGCAGAGCGCTGGCTACGAGCTGCCTTGGCAGCAGCTGCCTGCCTTGCAAATCATTAACACTGCACACAGACATCACGCTGGGGGGATCAGTTCACCTCCCAGGAGCCTCTCTGAACGCCGTGAGTTCCCTGGAAACCTGCCTGTTCCTAAATGCTGCAGAGAGCCCTGCTGCAGCTCGTCCTTGTTCCTGCCTCACTCCTGGAAACTAACCCCACATAGAGCTACAGCCTGCTGCTGTCACAGCTGCAGCCTGCTGCTGTCACAGCTGCAGCCCTGCTGCTGTCCAAGGCTGCCCCGCAGTCACAGCTACAGCCCTGCAGTCACAGCTGCAGCCCTGCTGCTGTCACAGCTGCAGCCCTGCTGCTGTCAGAGCTGCAGCCCTGCTGCTGTCCAAGGCTGCCCTGCAGTCACAGCTGCAGCCCTGCTGCTGTCCAAGGCTGCCCTGCAGTGACCATTCCCCGATCTGCTGCTGTCACGTGGCTGAGCACACACAGAGCTCGTGCTGAGGTGGCCTGGGACAGCTGTGCTTACGGCAGCTGGATGGGACGGACAGGAGGAAGGCTCGGTTCAGGGCCCCTGAGCAGCCAAGCTGAACTGATTAATGTCTCAGCTAATGGCTGAGACAAACAGTAATGACAAAACTAGAGGTAAGTGTACCTGAAGCCAGGCATTTCAGACCACTTGTAGTGGGGAAGCTTGGGCTGCAGAGCCTGCTTGCTTCACTAACAGTGCTGTGAGGAAGAGGTACAGTGAAATCATTGCAAATGTAAACTAAGTGAATTATCACATCTTGAGGGAAAAAGTGATCAGTAGCAGGAACCTTGTGCCCTCTGGCACCTGACGCTGGATGAGAAGTTGAGACATTTTTATCTAGGTTGCAGCAATAGGTAAACTCACTCCTAGGCCAGTTAAACAAAAACGAGCATCATTCACGTCAGCGTGGGAAGATCCTTTCCACCAAGCAGCTTGTCCTCAGTCAGCCTTCTTGGCAATCCGGCCCATCTTGGTGCGGATGTTTCGTAGCAAGAAGAAAGCCACTGTGCTAACAATACAGGTGACTTCAGCCACCCAGAAGGCTGTGGCCCAGCTGTAGTGCTTGGCAATTGTACTGAAAGGCAGTCCAGCCAGGAAACCCCCAACTGCAACGAAAAACAAACACAAAGCTAACAACACTTGTGTGCTCCCATGTTCTCTATCAACAGCTGCTTTTGCATATATAACAATTCCTCAGGCCTGGTTTGAACTTAAAGCCCAAAAACACCTGTTGGGCACAGCAGGAATGCATCCCTGAGGCTTCCAGCTCCATTATCTCTCTCCTTAGGTGCCTTCCCATGACCAGTAGCTTGGCACCTGGGGCCAGACCATGCTTCATCAAGAATATGCATGGGTTTTGTTTGTTTTTTGGGGAAATGGGTATTACTTACCATTGGCCATGAGGGCCACAATGGCGTGGGAGGTGCCACACAGGTTGGCAGGGGCGCTTTCATTGGCTATGACCCCAAACAGGGCAATCGGCCCATACGAGGAGAACCCAAACACAGCTCCCAGAGTCAGAATCCACAGCTGTCGAAGTAAGTTAAAATCAGAAACAGGATCTGTGCACATCACCACTGTCAGTTAGCAACTGCTGGTAATTCTCAGATTCTACACACAGTACCAGGGAGTTCTGACATTTTCAGGCTGACACCAGCTCCCCAGCCTGCCGCCACAAGAGCTCAAGCCTGTGGAGTCCCCACATTAAGTCCCTTGCATTAAGCCCAGCTGCATCTCCAGCACTCCACCTTAGTGGCCCCATGCAAGCTCTCCTCCCTGCCACCGTTCTGCCCCCCACACCATGTAACACATCCTGTGCTGACCTGCAAGATCACCACACAACATGGAACAGAAGAGGGCAATGAGCCCATGAAACCACAGGAAAGAACTGTGAACCAGGCTGCTTTCATAAACAAGCCCGGAGCTAACAACTGAAAGCTTTTCTCAGTTTAGATGCATGGGACTGATCAGAGCATGTTTATTTGTGAGACACCTCCTTCTGATGACCTCGATGTTACTAAACCGAGAAACAAACAAAAAAAAAAACACCACAAAAAACTCCAACAGTCTGAACTTCAGTGTTAGCTTACGCTCTAAGAAACCTATCTGGCCTCAAATTATCAGTCTCTTGTTTGCACAACAAAGGATAAGCAACACCTCCACATTACAGCATGCTTTTAGAATTGCAAACACCATTTCAAAAAGCCCAGGAGGAAGTAAGTGCCATCTTATTTTCCAGATGTGAAACAGAAAGGAGTTAGGAAAACACTTGCCAGAAACTAAATAAGAATGCATCTGCCAGGGCAGAATCATTCTTTCAGATCTCACCCACAAGACCTCTTAGCTGGCTATATTTTACCTGATGAACAGAGGTCCTCAGAACTTTCTTAAAAGTTACATAGTTAGACTTTTTAAAGTCAGTTAGTGTACTCAAATTATTGTAAGAAAATGTTTCTTTTACCAAACTTACAGTAATCTCTTCTCAATGCCCTGGTTCTAAGTTCTGAGGTGCTAACCAACCTCTCACGATAGGAGTAAGGCAGACCAGGGAAAGAAGAAAAAGGCAGAGGGAGAAAAAATGCAAGCGGAAACCTCATGTTCTTTTAGGCCTGTAAGATCAGCTAGAGGTTGCAAGGCTACAGTCCAGAAGTGGTTTTCCTGAAGAAGAAGAAAAAAAAATGAAAGGAGAATAGAAGTTTTATTTATTTAGCAATCATAAGGGAAGGCAGGCTGCCCGCAGCAACAGGACAGCAAGAGCACCCCAAGCCAGGCTAAGCCAGCGCTTCTGCAGAGTGCAACAGAAAAGAAACCCTGGGGAATGGTGAAGAAAACAATCACGCTTTCTGTCATCAAACTCCCCCTTCCAGGGCTCCCCCAGGGATGGGCAGCTGCTGCACGTGAGTTACCTTGGGAGAGTCAGCTGTGACTGTGACCCGGAACAGGAACATGGACACGCACATCGCGGCCATCATGGAGAGCAGCAGCGCGTGCCGGGGGTTCCCGTGGCTCGACAGCCCGGCCTGCGGGCAGGGAAGGACAGCAGACACTCAGAAACTGCAGGGGCTTCCACCTGCAGTGACCAGCACCACCCACAGCAAGAAACACGATGGCACATCAGCGGCACATCCGTGGCACACCTTGTCAGCGTGGCTTAAGGGCTGCACACAGTCAGACTGTGCTAAACAAAAGCTCTCAGTGATGAACAACTTCAGTTATCAACCACTTCCACCCTGAGTCTGGCTCCAGAGCCTACCACTGGATTTTAATGTGGGGCTTTTTTCCAGCCAGAAGACAACTATCAGCAAACAGTCTTTCAACAAGAAAATCTGGAGACCACAGTAAAGCAAACAAATTAAAAGAATAAACACCTCAAATCTGACAGGCATACTGCAACCCCTAACATCAGCACTCCTACTGCCCAGCACCTTCTGGAGTGTTTGGCAGCTGTGCCCATGCACGTGGCAGACCTGAGCGTGGGCTGGTTTCTCTGCTGTGCTCACAGGGACAGCACCCTGCCTGAGTGCCTTGGTGAAGCAGCTCAGAGTGCCACGGTGCTCCCTGCCCAGCATGCCCGAGGGTGCACCTGACTTACTTTTGCTACTGCTCTGTCAGAAAGGTATCCAGCAGCAATGCTTCCCACCAGGCCCCCAATCTCCAAGGCACTCATGTAGGAACTGCCTAGAACACAGGCAAAACAAAGAACAGCCCATCAGAAAAGCTGCTGTGGGCTCCAGAGCACTTGAGCAGCTCTGCTGGACACAACCATCTGGCTCATCCTTGTTCAGGAATGCCTGTCTGCCAGTCCCAGGAATGTCCTGGCACTAGGGTGGCTTGGTGCACGCAGTAACTCCATCCCTGAGTTATTTCAGAAGCTGTGTGCACCCAGGCACACAGCCAGGAGGTGGGCAGACAAGGCCCTCATGTGGAAGGGTCTCTACCCAGGCAAACCCTCGGCAACACCTCCCAGATTGCAGCCCCAGAGATTAATAATGCAGTTTTGCATCTCACCTACAAGCACGGACTGTCCCCTCTCTTGGATCAGGAAGAGCTGTCCCCAGTCAGTACAGCACGTTTTCACTCCAAAAACGACCAGGTAGCCTGTTGAGAGCACCCAGAGGTATGGGGAGAGCAGCAGCTCTGTCAAGGTGCTGTTGTCGCTGGAGGCACCTGTAGGAAGGTCGGGAGGAGTGTCACCACAGCCCAAACCACAGCGACCAGCAGCCCAGCAGGCAGCTCTGCAGGCAGGACCAAGGCATGAGAACATCCCCACACAGGGAGGTATTCACAGCTGCTGAATGGTAGTGAATGGCTCTGCCTCCCCCTTGTTCTGGTGATTTCAGAATCTCTTCTGTCATTTTATCCCACATTCATTAAAGATTTGAAAAGAATAATCAAAACACTACTCCCAGTAATTTTCTGTATTACAGTTGCCAGTAAACCCCTCACAAAGGTTGTTAGAAAAATTACCTCTAGATTCTTTGGGAGTGTTTTTTAGCTGTGCCTCTGAAAGGCACTGCACAGACCCAAACAAAGATGCTAACATGAATTTTGCATCAGTCTTCCAACAAACTTGCTCTCCCCAGAGAATGCTCTGGGGAAACAATATTCTTTTCTTATGCAAAGAGGTCCAGTCTGGCAGCACAGGCAGTATGGGACAGCATGGAACACAGGCTGAGTTTCCACTAGCCTTTAAAATCCTACTGAAAACCTGTGTTGCAATTCTCACCTACATGCTCTGCTTTCAGAGGAGTGCCACACTCAGTGGTCTGAACAAACATTTACTAACTAGATGTCCTAGGTTAGGGCAGAGACACTGAGCAGAGTCCACCGTGAGCTGGGGTCAAGAGAGCCCAAGGTGGGGTGAGGGGGGAACTGCCTGTCCGCTGCAGGGCGGAGGAGCAGAGGTCAGGCTTAAGGAAGCATTCCTTGCTGCTGTAGCTTTTCTCTCTCCACCACCCCACCAAAACTGCATTCACAATCTGAGCACACAAGGCTCCAAGAAAACAGGGATGCTAGTAGCAGGAAGACATGAAGTATATATGGGGAGAGCCAGCCCTGAGCACCTCAGCAACACACAGGTGTCTGCTGGCAGGCTAAGGAGCAAGACTAACAGAGGCTAACAGCAGGCTTTTCCCTGCTCTGCCACAGTCTCAGGAATCCCTACACTAGCCCCTTCCCACAAGATCACAGTGGGCCTTGGTTTATACAATTTCCACTTTCAGTTACCAGAATAAAGCAGCCAAAACCAACCCATTACCACACACCTGCCAAAATGTGACTTCAGAAACTGGGTAGGATGGGGGTGTGGGTATGCTGAGAGTGACACATCTGTACCAGAACACAGACAGAAGGCACTGCATCTTCTGCTGCAGCTGCCTGCTTGCATCCAAGTCACAGGCTCACCTTTCTTCCCTTTCTTGGCTCCTTGCTCAATGTTGGGCAGCCCAACATCTGCCGGCTCGTTTTTAATCAGGACAAGGCAAACAAAAGAGACAACCATGCAGGTGAAGCCAGAGAAGGACAAAGTCTTGCGCCAGTCGTAGTTCATAGACACAAGAGCAGCGACAATGGGGCCTAAGCCTCCAGCCAAGTTCATGCTTGTAGACAGGATTGCCCACCAAGTCCCAAACTGGGAAGGCTCAAACCACTGTGCAACAAGAAAAACAGCATGAGGTGTAAGAGAGTGACAGCACACATGAAAACCCTCCCTTGAAGCCCATGATGTGGGGCTGGGGCAATTCAGACACAGAACTCCAAAAGCAGGTGGAGGGAACACCCACACCTCGCTACTTTAGTCATGCAGGGAACTCCAAACCTTACTCAAGTGTCAGCTGTAAGAGCCTGACAGGTGTTCACGCTGTGAGCCAGCTCAAAGTTATTTCCATTTACAGACCATGAAACTGAGACGTGGGGCAGGAGAGGCAAGTTTAAGAGCACATGGTTTTGTGTACTCACTTGCTAGGAACAGCGTCCTCCTGGAGAGGTCTGCTGGCTCAGGAACTTGGATGGACAGGCAGAGAGTCACAGGGTAACCTTAGCACTCGCTGTTGCATTAAGTGTCAGACATGATGGGCTCTGCATTGCAACCAGCACGCAGAGCCAGAACCACTTGGGTGGCTCTTGTCAGCAGGAAAATGTCTGAGTTCTACATTCATGACTATCTTCAGAAAACACCATGGCTGATATATCTGTTATGTGGGCCCTTCTTTTCTGTGCACTCAACTGTCCTGCACAGCCCTCTCCTCATCATTTAGGGGAGGCCAGGTGCCTCACAGAAGGGCAACAAAATTTTTTATCTCTTCCCCACCCTGCCCCACAAGTACATGCAGTACATTCATTCCTGGATTTTACATCTTCCGTGAGGGATCAGCATAAAGCTAACCAAACTCCTTTCCTTCTGTCCTTGGGAGAAATCAATCTGGTCCTTTCAGATTGTCACAAACCCCAAGTACTTACAGCTCAGAGACTCATCTCACATCATTCCTCCATGTTATCCAGTTTTCTACTTGAACCACCTGTGATTTGGAATTCCCAAGTTGCCCAAGCGTGCAGATGGAACTGTGCTCACTGCCCCCTGACCCACAGCAAACCTGACTTGCACCAGCAGAGACAAGCAGTCCTGTGTGTCCACGCCTAAAATACTTAATTCCCACAAAGTCTGCCTCAACGGGGCAGAACCCTGGTACCAGGAGACGTTACCAAACTGAGCTACACTCAAGGCACGCAGGGGCAAGGGCTACAGGGTGAATCTTTGCTAGAATAAGTAGATCCCCGTGCACAGAAAGTTGTTCCACAGGCAGCAGAATGCAGACAGTGCTCTAGACCTCCTTTGCTGGAAGGAGTGAGAAAAGCTGCCAGTCCCTCTGGGTTCTGGGCAAGCATGGTGTGGCCAGCGCTGTTGCCAGGACAGGTCAAGAGAGCAGCGGCGGGTTCCCTGCCCTTGTCAGCACCCACCTTGCGCAGGATCTTCCCGCAGGGCGGCCAGCCCAGCCCCTGGGCCAGCCCGTTGAGGAACCAGAGCCCGGCGAAGGCCGTGACGGTGGAGCTCCAGGAGAAGACCACGTTGACCAGGCCCACCATGAGGAGGCCGGAGGAGAAGAGCCAGCGGGCGCTCATCTGGTCCGACAGGACGCCGCTGATGAACTTGCTGATGGCGTAGGCCGCAGACTGGCTGCTGGTGATGAGACCTGCGGCGGGCAGAGCCCAGGGGCGCCTCAGCCCGCGGCACGGCCCCTCCGGCCCGGCGGGGCCCCGGGGCCCGGCCCCCACACTCACCCAGCTCGTCCTTCCCCAGCGGCACCTCGGCCATCACGGCGGGCATGACGAACGAGAAGGTTTTGCGGTTGAAGTAATAGAGCGTGTAGCCCACGAACATGGCCGCGAAGATCGCGGCCCGGTACCGCCCGTACCCGCCGGCCGCCATCGCTCCCGCGGGGCCGCACCGCTCCGGGCGCACCGCACGCTCGGACGGACGGACAGGGACAGACAGACGGGCGGAGGGACGGGCGGACACGGCCCCGGCCCCGCCCCGGGGAAGTCCCGCCCCGGCCCGCCCGCGGCCGGCCCCGCTCCCGGAGCAGCCGGCCCCGCTCCCGGCCCCGCTCCCGGAGCACCCGGCCCCGCTCCCGGCCCCGCTCCCGGAGCTCCCGGCCCCGCTCCCGGCACACACGGCACCGCTCCCGGCCCCGCTCCCGGCACACACGGCACCGCTCCGCACAGCCCGTCAGGAAGGGTCGCTTTTATTTCTGGCCGAAGAGGCCAAATGGAGAACAATGTCAGATGCACATTCGCAGCCGTCGGACCCCACTCGTGTGTGTGGCAGCAGCAGGGACGGTCTGGGGAGGCAGCAGGTCACGGCCAGGGACAGGGAAGGTCACACGATTAAGTCGGTCCAAGTGCACAAAATACCGAGGAAGGCAGTTGCCATTGGACTTTCCAGGTTTGGTTGTTTGATCCGTATCGCTGTCCTTGTGACTGACTGCAGGATGTGCCAACACAGCCCATCTTTCCCTCTCCTCTGCATTCAGTGTTGCCTTTTCTGAACTTTGAAAGCTATGACAGAATCTTTTTGTCAAGTCTCACTTCACGGTTCTTAGACTCTGCTAGAGAGCACAGACAGTTTTAACAAACAGCCTATTGAAAACAGACACCGCCATATCTCAAAGCACAGATCATCTGCCTTCCCAATTTTGTTCCACCTTCCCAGGAATCCAAGTACTAATACACCTCCCACCAGCTGAAATCACACATTTGCTCTAAGTCAGGGTCTCATATGCAAAGACAACAGCATTTCAGGTCTACATCCTTCTGCAATCATCTTCACAAGAGGTGGGGCACAGAGTTTATGTTCCAGGTTACTTCCTACACCTTAAGATGTTTCTGTACTGCTTTCTCCCCATAGGAAAGTCACTTTGGTGACCTCTGTACTGAAACAAAGACAATTCTTGGTGGGCAGTCTGCCCCACATAATAAAAGAAAAACAAAAAACCAATTCACTAAGTTAGTAGAGGCAAAATCCGCAGAAAGAACAAAAAAAAATAAATTTACATCTCTATCCCATTGTGTTGTCATTGTGTTCCATTTACATCATGACTAACCAGGTCCATAAGAAAAACAAGAAAGTAACTATGAAATAAATAGATGCTGACACTTGTAGAATTTCAGGGTGTTACAATTCATCGTTTTTCCTGCTTTCTCCTCCAGCTTCTGCCTTCTCTTTTTTGGACCCTGTGTAATGAAGCAAACTCAGTTTCACACTGCAGTCATTTTCACAGCATGCAAAGCAGTACTGAGAGTGTCTGACATTTGCAAAATTTGCCACAGAAAAGCAGTCCCATGGTACAGAGGTTTTGGGGGTTGATACTCAGCTCCATGGAGCTGAAGCCATGAACCCCTGGCCCTGTTCACAGTGCTGCCCTGGCAGCAGGAGCAGCACAGCAGCTCTAAGCAGAGCCAGTCTCATGGGACTGGCTGCAAACTGCAGGGACAGGGCACAAAGCAGCACTGGTGCATAAAGAATTCCACTCTGAACAACAAAAATACAGGAACAGCAAAGAACCAAGACTTGTCTTCCTGTTTGCAGAATTAACAATGGATGAGCAGTCAGGAGTTCTACCATCATATTACCTCTTACAGCTAAAAATCTGCAAAGGAGCCCCCAGACACCTTGCACTTGCAGCAGATTGTTAGCAAAACATTTACCCACCCGAGTCTGATCCAGGCTTATCATCTATTGCTGCTTTCTCAGCTGTAGGAGGTTCCTTGGCTGGATCAATATCCTCTGGTTTGTCTATGTTCAAAGCAGAAAGAAACAAAAGTCAAGGGAGAACACACAGGAAACAAGGTGCAAAGAGATGAGGTGAGTAAAGGTGAGGTTAAACCAGCCAGCTGTGGTGCCTCAGCAGGACAGAAATAGCTCACTCTCACAGCAGCTCACTCTACAACACTCAAGAGAAGCACCACAAAACTGCTCCCTATTCCCCTGAGTGCCAAGCTTTTTGTCCCCAGAAGCCCTGGAGACTGACTGGTTGCACAGGCAGATGACCTTTGGAGCTGTGACTAGGAGCAAGATCCTTGCTCAGGCCAGAGGAACCAGCAGGAATGCTGACAAACAGCACCCAGATTTAAAAGGACCGGGGCACTTGAGACCTGAGGATCTTAGAAAGTTCAAAAAACTAAGTCCCAGTGCTCCAAGAGATTTTTTTTTTTTTTCCTGGGGACCATCTAGGCCACAAACCTCTCATATCAACAATTCATTCTACTCACTGATCTAGGACAGGACTTTGAGTATTCAGCTCGCTAAACTCAAGTGCAGTCAATGGCTTATCTTTCCTAGAAGTCAACAAGCCAGCAAGACAGGTACTGACTATCCTGGAAAATTTATAAATAGTTTCTGTTTCTTCACAAAAAAACCCAAACAAATGGTGGGGGGGTGAAGGACACCACAATATATAGATTTTTCCCAGCTGTCTTTGAAAATTAAGAGCAAACTCCCCTAATCTCACAGTTAACTACTGTCCTCCCTTCAATCAAGAGAAACACCATGTATTACATGTGGTAATTATATAATAGGGAGTTACATACATGCTCCAAGCCTGCTGCTTACCTTCTTGTTTCCCCTCCGTGGGAGGGATAGTATTCTCAGTCTCAGGGGCTGCTGTAGCATTCTTGCCTGAATCAGTTTTTGTGGCATTCTTCTCCCTTTTGGGTTTGGGTTTTGCAAACTTGGCTTTATTCAGGAGATACTGCACTTCCCTGTCCAGGGCTGCTATCTTGAACTCTATATCTTTAGAGAGCAGCACAGGTTTCTCAGTAGGAGTAAGCTTGTTCTGTTCAGCCAGCGTCTCATTTTTCCAGATCTGTGGGACGCGAGGGAAGAGGTGCTTTTGGAATGCTTCTGGGTTCCAGGAACTGCTGTATATCACAGTATCTCAAAGTCACTGCCCCTGGCTGTCCTGCTTTACTCAGGACAGCTCTCCTCTGTGCTACATTTCCACCAACCTCTCAGTTACCCAGACCCAGGAAAAACAGAAACAAAACCCAGTGCCTGCCTTTAAAAACCGAGTGCAGTCAGATCACTGGGCTCCACCCCCACCCTGGAGATGATTCCCCATGCAACACAGGAACCACCAGCCCCCCCAGACACAATGGGGTCAGGCTGGGCATTAGGAAACACTGAAACACACAAAAGGTTTGCTGGTGGCACGAAAACAAAACGTGCACATTCTACTCCATGACCTTGAGTGAAGGTAGAGGTCATAGCCCCAACACCACCCCACCCTCCTCCAGCATCACTCCCTCCTTCAGTACCGTTGTTTCATTGATGGCTTTTTCCAGTGTACTCAGTTCCACTTCTGTGAATATCTGGTCAGACTCTGGAATCATTCGGGCTCCCCTTGTAGATAAGAAAGCTTATTTTTGTTAAGCCAAGCAGACTGCACTCTGGAAACTCAGTGGTTAAAGCTCCAGTAATACAAAAACATCACAACAACCATGCTGGGCCCTTCCTGCCCCCCATTTTGGACAAGGGGCTGTTCACAGGTCCTGCAGAACAGGACATGGGGGAGCAAGGCTCTGCTCAGCTTTTCTCAGGAACTGCCACTGACTTTCACATTCACTCTGGTCTCATTCTGCTGGCAGCTCCTACATGACCAGTTGCATGACATTCCTTTCCAAAAGCCTGCCCTTACCTGAGAAAGATGGTGGAGTGATTGAGCAGACTTTCCAGAGCAGCCAGGCGTTCTGGCCACTTTCTCCGTTCCTCAACACGGAAGAAAAGGTTCCTACAAAGCTTTTTCAGCTCTGAAAGCTTGTCTTTCAGCTCCTGAAAATGGAGGAGAGGAGAAAGGAGACAGTTAGTTTGATCACTAACACTGGTAACTTCAGAAGTTATAACTGCATTTGTTTTTCACTCTGTCAAATACACCATTTCAGTGCAGTGAAAAGAGCCACATGACAAAGCTTTCAGTCAGGTTCCTGATGAAGCTCTTGTAGAAATATCAGTGGCTGGGACAACTTATTTTGTTCTGTGCACAATGCTCTGAGGAAGCAAGAAACTCCCAAGAACCAGATTACAAAGGCTCTGTCAGCCTCTGTGGCCACTTCCATGCCAGTGACAGCTGACTGGTATCCTCACTGCACACAGCAATACCTTTGTTGCAGCTGCATAGCCCTCCTCCTCCATCCAACTGGAAGCCTCACTAAGCTTTTTGGAAATTTCTTCTCTCTGCTCCTCTGTTGAGACAAACTGATACTCCTCTTGGTAAAGCTTGTCCTAAAAAAACAGCAAGCACTGGTCAAACACCACTGAGCCTGGAACCATAAAACAAGAGCACGGACTTGAAACTGGGCTGGGCTGCTGCCTGCACCCTCCCAAATGTGAGCTCTGCTGCTAGCACTGCCAGGAGCACAGGTGACACACCAGGTACAGACACACCCACATCCCAGGATGGCAATGCTGCAACAATCATTATTTCACTCACACTTCACACTAGTTGCCTCTTCTGCACAACAGTTCCTGAGAAGCTGGAGCTTCTTTACACTCTGGGGGCAATTGCTCAATGTGTTAAACATGCTGAAGAGAAGCTTCATTTTGTATTGAGGAAACATGGGCCTGGGAAGCCTAATAGCATTAGAAAAAGTGACTGAAAGACAAAACCTGGGCTCTTCAAAACAGCTTCCTCCAGTTCAAACAACTCCGCTGCACTCAGATCAGCCAAAAGCTGTGCAAAACACTTCTACTGCTCTCCTGGAATTCTCATTTCATTATATCCCTTCTCTTACCTGGGTCTCAAAGATGAATGACTCCAAGCTGTTGGCTGATTTTTCTCTTTCCTGTTTCTCTAGATCTCTGATTGTCAAGTCTTGAAGTCTAACATGCAAAGAGAACAAAAATCAAAAGGTAGCAAGTGCCCTTGGCTGAGCAGCACATCACACACACCTTCGGAGGTCAGCAGTGCTCTGTGTGAGCCATCACCATCCCAAAGCAATTCCCTTCCTTTTTCTTGAGTTCTAACTTAGCAGAGCCATTTCAAACCTACTTTTTCATGGAGCTCTTCAGCTCATCTT